TCAGTTAGTAGGATTGAGTAAAAGTATATGCCTTAAAACAAAATTAATGTGATAAAAAAATAGTGTCCTAAAAAATCCTTATAGTAATTAAATTTTGCTCAGATAATGCGAATTCGACAAACAATGGCAGATTGTAAACAATAAAGGCAATTAATGTTTACTTTAGTGAAGAAGCAAATTATTCGAATTAACAAAGAAACAAACAAAATGCTTTTTTTCAAATTTTTTGCTATAACTTAGTCATTTTTTGACAAATTTAAAATCCGATGGCACCATTGTTTTCAGCGTAAAAAGTCCTTTAAAATGATGTGTCAGCAGAAGCTTGTATTTCAGCATAAAATCACACAATCCATAGTGGCATAAAATTTACACTTAGATATCTACTACTTGGAGAAGATTCCAATTTTATTCTACAACCTCTCCAAATTAAGCACAATTTACCACCAGACCGTAGATGAGCTTTAGAAAATTAAATTTTAAATCATGAGAAGAAGAAAAAAAGACGCGATACGAGTGTACATGGAAAGAGCAAAGAAATTAAATATAAATAAATTAGACGAAATTAGAAGTGGACCTTTCCCTATTACACGACGAATTTCAAACTCTATATATGAAATAGATTGTGGAAAACCAATTAATTCCTACAGGTGAATTTCTCCTACAGCGGAGAGGGAGGAGATGTATAACGTCCCTTTGTTATGATAGCTACATTTGAGACTACGCGCGATTGTAGTGGCCAAGTATCCGATATCTTGGAGGCCGCGTCAGACAATGATATGAAATATGAACATTATCAGACATAATTAATAATATCAAGTAGTGAACAAGTATAATTAAATACTTACAACTTATAAAATCGTAAGCAGGAGTAGGCCAGGAGTCGACGAGGCGTAAGCCAAGAGTAGGTCAGGAGTTGACCAGGGTCAGTACGACCATTGCCAACATCTCAATTCTTTAAGTGCAGATTTGTCAATCAGTTGACGGGAGTGTTGGAGAACAGTCGGGGAATAAGCCGAATTGGGTTGGGAGTAATTAACGATCTGGTAAGGGAATTACTGAATTTTCTTAATTTATAAGTAGGAATGGAGAATTGTTAGAGGTCTAAGTTGGTATGTTTATTTAGATTATAAGCAAGAATAGAGAATTATGTAAGAATTAAGATGTTAATTTTTTAGTAGGAATAGAGAATGGTTGGAGAATTAAGTTGGTGTGTTTATTTAGATTACAAACAGTGATCGAGAATTGTTAGTTATAAGCAATTCCATGAATTGATTTGTGCATTAGTTTATAAGTAAGAATTAGGAAGTTCATGCATCATAAGTAATAGAATGATATGTCGGGTATTTCAGCCTTATTTAAACCATAATTAAATAAAGGGACTTGAAAAATGTACCCTAATTGTTGTGCTTTCTCTAATCCTCCCCCCGCCAACACAGTTAGTGGAAAGTGGTGGGGGCGCTTAGCCGTCAGGCCGGAAAACTGGGCACACCCTAGCCAAAGGCACTAGAGCACTCAGTTGAGCATGTATTAGTTGAAAAGACCAATTCGGATTCGTTTTAGGAATCCTTTAAAGCCCTTAAATATGAATTTTTATAGCAGACAAAATTCGATATTTTTGGGATGGATTAGACCGAGGCTTTCTTTAGTCACGTCTTTTTCAGGGGTCCTGTTGAAAATTCATAACTCAGCTAGATTTCATCCAAATTCAACGTTATTATAACTATAAACAACAGCTAGAAAACCAAATCTTTCCACTTTCAATCCATGTCGTACACAAATTAGCATTATATTTTAATTTCTACAGTACCCATGGCTAGGGATGGATATCGAACCAACGACATCGATATTTGACATCGGTAGTGATTAGAATGTGAAACATCGCTGGCAAAAAAGCATCGGTGCCAAATCATTTATGTTTTGGTTTGGTTTGATTATCTTATCATTAGTTGTATTAGTTGTATTTATTATTATCCTAGTAGCCAGTTTTATTTTCCAAGGAGGCTACATTAAATAAACTTAAAGCTAAAACTAAAACACAGCGAGAATTACGAATAAACACACTAGTATTAGCCATCTAAAGAAAAGCCACAACTGAAACATTAAAATGAAAAACAATGAACAGTAAAAGTATTGGGTTGTCCGGAAAATAATGCAGGATTTTGGTATTAAACAAAAAAAAAGAAACTAGTTACTTTAAAGCAATGTTCTTTAATCAAAATAATTTCCCATACTCTCAATACATTTCTCCCAACGTGTTGGTAACTTATTAATTCCGTCTGAGTAGAATTCAGAATTTTTAGAATTGATAAAGTCAATAAATGCATTTTCCAGTTCCGTTTGATTTTTGAATATTATGTGTTGTAAGTAGTGGTCCAGGTGTCTAAAAAAATGGTAGTCAGTAGGCGAGAGGTCCGGAGAGTAGGGTGGGTGAGGCAAAGTTTCATAGCCAAGCTCCAATAATTTTTGTGACGTTACACGTGACACATGTGGTCGAGCGTTGTCATGCAACAAAATGGGCCCTTTCCGATTGACCAAAGAGGGCTTCATTACTGCCAATTTCTGATGCATGGTATTAATTTGGTTACAGTATGATTCAGCATTGATGGTTTCGCCAGGATTTAAGAAGCTGTAGTGTATTAAACCAAATGAAGCCCACCATACCGTAACCATTACCTTTTTTTGATGAGTTGGGGGCTTTGGAGCTTCTCCTTTGTCGAGCCACTGTCCAGAACGTCTAGTGTTATCGTAGAGAATCCACTTTTCGTCACATGTAACAATTCTGGCCAGAAATGGGTCATTTTTGTTTCGACAAAGAAGTGATGCACAAACATCAAAGCGCTGATTTTTTGGCGATCGTTTAATGAGTGTGGAACCCAATTTTCGAGTTTTTTCACTTTTCCAATCGCCTTGAGGTGGTCAGCGACGGTCGTTTTACTGACTTTGAGTTGCTCTGCAAGTTCTCGAACAGTTGTTTTGGGGTTTTCTTCCACCACTGATCGCAGAACATCATCATTAAGAGAGGAAGGCCTTCCACGACCTTCTTCATCTTCAAGGCTGAAATCTCCCTCCCGAAATTTTTTAAACCACCTTTGCACAGTGCACTCATTAACACAACCCTCGCCCCAGACTTGGTTAATGTTTCTAGCCGTTTGGGCTCCGCTTCGGCCGAGTTTAAACTCGTAAAAGAAAATCGTACGAAATTCTCGCTTTGACATTATAAGGATGACTGAATTATTTCCAAGTAGCGGAATGCTACAGAGGTAAACAAACAATATCATTTGGAAGAGGAATAATAATCCTGTAAACGTAAACAGAATATTTTATATAGATTTTTTTTAATGAAAACTTAAAATCCTGCATTATTTTCCGGACAACCCGATAAAAACCTCCCTTTTACGTACTCCCTAGCCACTAATTCTTCGCTTGCTTCCTTCTATTAATGCAATGATGGTTTCGAATATTGATGAAGACTTGGATACATTTATCATGTCTTTTCAAGCGATATAAATTGGAAGTGATTAGAAATTGTAAATATATGTACTATAATGTTTTACAATTTTGTAAATTTATAATGATATTGTTTGATCGTGTCATCGATGGTTCGGGGTAAAACATAAATGTTATACCAACATCGGATCGTCATCATCGATGTTTTTATAAAAACATCGATAAATATTGAGTACTCGATACCCATCCCTACCAAATATAATTTTGACTTAATGACCAAGCTGCTTAGCAAAGTGAGTCAAAATATATTTTTTTTTTACAAGAAACAAAGTTGATATTAGTTTTTCCCACTCTCAAAAACCACTAAGTACTAATTTTTGAATAAAATCGATAAATATTTTTCTTTTCAAATACCTCCAATATTTCGTTTCGTTTTTTGAAACCACATCAATATGTGAAAAATATTTATCGATTTTATTTAAAAATTAGTATTTAGTGATTTTTGAGAGTGCGAAAAACTAATATCAACTTTGTTTTTTGTAAAAAAAATGTATACTTTGATGATAACTTTGAATCAACTCTGATCGACGGCAAACTTTACACAGGCTTAGAATCTTATAAACTATACGTAATGGCACAAACCTGGCATCTGTTACTAAATTAGAAGTCAAGATATAAAATCAAACGGTTGAAGGCTTTTTGTTGATTTCATCTTAAAATCGAAGCATTTTTGACATAGCATAAAACTAGAAAATTAGAGCTTACCAAAGGTTGTCATACCGTTGATATTCAATAAAAATCAGAGGAGTCACGAATTAATTTTAAGTGGAACACCGGACATCTATGGGACAAAACCGTATTTTCAAGCCCAAAAATGTATCAACTTTGATTACTATGAAAATATGTATTTAATGGCTTTCGACGGTGCTTGTAATCCTAGTAGTCATTTTCAAAATTCTAGTTTTCGAACTACTTTACTGAGAGCGCATTGTCCTTTATGAAACTTTTTATATATCTGATTTCATTTAATACTTTCCTGGTTATTACTTTCTTATCCTAGGTAAAATATCAAATCAAATGATATATAATAACATTGAAATACACGTACCACAAAGAAAGAAAAATTTCATTAAAATCTTCTGTAGTCCACCTTGTAAACAATCCAGCAATTATTTCTTAATTAATTCTTCTTTAGAAAAAGCGAAATTGTGTTACATATTATGTTTTTTCCGAAATGAGATCTTGAAGTAGGAATTATATTTCCTATTATCACAAATTTGGTTTGTGTTCAAGTTATTTTTCGTAATCACACGCTTTCACGTGTGATTACGAAAAGTGTGTAAGTAGTGTTTTTTTTTACTTTTTTAGGAATATTTGTCTGCTTGACAAATTACATATTATTTGGCTATATTTGTGTGTAAGAGAAGTATGTATATTTCACATTTTAGCCCGTCCTTTCTGAATAATTAGAATGGGAGGTCAAATTACTAGAGTTTCTTGTCAGGAACAGTGTGTACAAAATAAATCCATTTAGGGGACTGAAAATTCACAAGTTTAATTTAATTAATTTATTGATTTAAACATTACTTTCTTTAACAAGATTATTTGAGCTTTAATCTGAACAATATGAAGCCTATAACACAAATATCACAGGTGTATATCATTAACATTTTTTATTTTTTATTTCGCTTATCATTATTGTGTTCCATGCGAATGACGGCTTCCAGGGCCTTTCTGATTATTTCCAGGTCCTCGGCAATCTCCTCTTCCGTCAGCATGAAATTGTATTTGAAGATGCTGGCAAATTCGTTCTTACTTTTCCTTCTCGTATTGTAGGAACCACGCTTCTTCTTGGGCGGAGCCAGGGTGATGTCATAGAACGGTTTTATAATTCAAATATTCGGGCAAATCTGAAGAAAAAAAAATTGACTATTACTTTTAGTAATTTATGATTTTATTTCAATAAAACTGGAAGAGAAAAGAACAAATATGTAGTAGATAATCCCTTTTATTTAAGTTGGACAGGGCAAGAAGGAATGTCTTTATAGTGAAACATAATATTTATATACATAAAAAGTGAATGTTCGTATGTGTGTTAATGATAAAAAAGAAAACTACTGAACCGATTTCGATAAAACTTTCACACTTAGTTTTTATTAGTGCCGGGAGGCTTTAGAAAACATAAAATGTGAATTTAATTAATGGGCGTCAGGATTTAAAAAAAAAGTGAGATTTCAGGAATTTGTAGCGTCCAATTCCACATCTGTTTTATCAGCTGTCAGCTGTCCAGTCGGGCTCGGGACTTCGGCTCCCGGTATGATACGTGTTTCCCGCGTTTTTCAAATTACGATTTGTAAGCGCAAACAGTCAATAGATGCAAAACCTACGCTAACACTATATAGTCGAAAAAATTACCGAATCGGTTATAGTTGCAAAACTACTAATACATCAGGTATAGTCGCAAAACCTACAAAATTGGTTTCGTGGCATGACAGACGACCGTTCGACTCGGCCAAGCCATCAGAATTGAGAAACGTGCTCCAAGTGAACATTTATTTAGCATACAAAGATAAACACTACAAAAAACGATTTTATTTTACAGGTAGTATACGTAAACATTTATAAATTATGTAAAATGTTATTAAATATTGTTTTACAGAACTTAATCTGTAAATTAAATGTGATACGTAGTGCTGTTGTTTTGCCAATTGGATTTATTAACATTCTGACAAACATGTGCCGAGTTAACCCCATTGACTTTTCGTAGTCTACCGGCAATTCCAGCTTTTGCTATTTACAGTAAATTGCCTGCAGGCTAGAGAATCACCCACCCCGGGTGTAGGCAGTCCGGGGGCAGACCTCAGGCTTATTCGTCCAGCCACAGGTTGTGCTGGGGGGGGGGGCTGTCGACAGCTAAATCAATTCAGCACCCAGTTCCAAACCCATTCATACTCACATTCATTCTTAACATTTACTCTTATTTACGTACCAATCATTCAATTAGAGTGATGGAGTACTCGATATTCCTCTGTCACCCTTTACACATACATATACAACTAGCCTGATTCAGGGTCGATGGAGTACTCGATATTCCGTCATCAACCCTCTCACATCGCACGCAATCTCGATAACAAATACATTCTCTCTCAACACAAACTAGGTATACACAACTATTATTACTATATACAGTAGTACAACCCCTTTTCCCCCAAGAATCGGAACAGATGACCCAAATATTCCCTGCCGTGTTCAAGCACAATTCTCAAATCGGATGGTATTCCTGCGCGCTCTCTGTATGGATCCGAGGAACTACAACCATCAATTAGGTGGGACACATCGAGCAACCTTTCTCTGCATGCCGGACACATACGCGGGCTTTGGTCCAAAAGTACGTGTCCTTGAGTTAACCTCGCATGGCCTATTATTAATCGGGTGAGGATGACCCTTCTTCTACAAGTCAGATCCTCCGAGGGCCTCCTATCGACAGTATTCTTGATATGCGAAAACTTCTTTGTCGATCCGGTCCATTGAGGCTGCCACTTTCCTTTAATCATGTTTGTTATTGCATTCCAAGTGTCAGAGGCGCGGATCGCGTAGGTTGAGTCCGGAGGTTGGACGTCCCGGACTTAGCCGCCTCGTCCGCCTTTTTATTACCCTCCAGACCTATGTGTACAGGTATCCAGAATACAAACATTATTCTACCGGGAAGTCCAGTTCGTGATATCTCTCCAACAAAAGGACTACAAGAGGGTCGAAAGAAAACCTGTCATGGACCGCAGTAACTGCTCTGAGGGAGTCGGTGTACACTAAGTAGGCAGAGCCACCATCCAGTCCGGCGGGAGCGTCGACGAAGAGGACGCACACTCGCGATACACGGAAAACTGCTGCGCGGAGTCGGCCGGTTGCCCAGGTCGAGTACCGTTCCAAGTGTCATTCCCACTCTCTCCAAGTCTTCGCCGAAGCATATTCTTAGAGGTCGTGCCCGGGTCTGAAGTCGCTCGTATATTCTACTATACTGGCATCTAAGGATCGCACTCGAAAGCGGATTTCCTGCTTTGGAAAGAAACCCCGCCTCATAGCTGATGGTGAGCAGCGAATTAAATATTTTCAGGAAGGTCTCCCTGTCCGCTCCCCACGTGAAGTGACCGATGAACTTTATAATGTTTTTACTTTCCTTCCCTTCACCTCGACGGCGTCAATGTGTACCTGTCGTCTAAGCTTTTGATATAACGTGAGGCCGAGGAACCTCACCGATTCAACCTATCTTATCGCAGCGCCCCTTAGTCAGAGCTGCGAAAAGCTGTGGGCCCTCCTCAGCTTGCAAAAGTAGACGCACACTTTTTTCGACGATGAGCAGGCAAATGCGGTTTCCCCGGACGTTTATAGCTGACTGCAACACCCCTCCGACCTCTGCTAGGTCTCTCCCCGAAAGGAAAAAACAGAGGACTTCGACGTACAGTAATCGTTGATTGCTTGGGGGACAAGGTCAACGATACCGTTCACTGCGATCGAGAAAAGTGTAACGCTTATCACTGAATCCTGATGGACTGACTCCATTCTCTTGAACAAAGCCCTTGACAGCACGGACCCCAATCTGACATGGAATTTTCGGTTCATCAAGAACCGGGGTAATTTGCCTCTACATCCGATATCCCAACATTTCCGAAGTATCACACATCTCCATATCATACGCTTCCTCGAGGTTAAAGAACGCAAGCAGAGCGTGCTTACTATTCAGAAACGTATTCTGAATATCACTCTCAAGAAGGCAAGCATGATCGATTGCGGAACGATGCCTACGGTATGTGCCTGATACTGGCTGTATAACTGTTTGTTTCCAGACACCAGGTTAAACGATCGTTTGTCATGGACACCAGGAGTTTACTCAGGCAAATTGTTAGGGAGATCGACCTGTAATTCGTTGGTAAATTTGGGTCCATGTCCATCTTAAGGGCGGTAATGACCAGGGCATCGAGCCAACGGTCGGGATAGGAGCCCATATCCCACATGTTATTGAAGAATTCCAACAGGGTATGCTTCAGCATTTAATAAGCGATACTGTCGCACCAGGGGCTTGAATTCCGGGCCGAAAAATATCTGTGAAACATCGTAAAGGCGCTGGAACATAAGGGTGGACCTTTAATCGGTAGAATGCCTCCCTAATTTCATCAGGGCATTTAGGGGTGTCGAACGAGAGGACTAGACTCGCCTAAGGGATAAGTTGCTCAATCCGGCGAGTGTTCATCCTTCTCACTTTCGTCACCCAGTGGCCAGCGAGGCCCTCCTTAATTGTCTCGACGCTACTGTTCAAGACGTCCCGACATGTCACACCATCACGAGAGGTGTTTACCCTCTGATATAGTGTTTTCGAGACATCGTCACCATCAAGCGTCCAGAGACTTGTAATTACCTCGAGGTCTTTTTTACTTCCAGCCCTAGAATGAATTTTCCATCCTTGTTTTTGGTAACGTTGGTAACTGGAGATGTTGGGATGTGGGGTTCCTATTTCACCGTCTTCTCTCCCCAGGGTGAAGAAGCGGCCGATCCCTTCCTCTTTCAGGAAGGCAACTTCCACTCGTCATTTTCAGTTGCGTTTCCTTGTCCCGACTCGGTGTTCCTATATCCAACAACACAATAGTGTTATACTTATTCTTTACCGTAGTCATTATCTCATCAATCGTGAACATCTATGACGGACCAATACGCTCACAAAGATAATGAATATACCCACACGAAAAACTGGATGGGTTTTTAACTAATTACTATTTTAAACCATCTCCTTATTGATTTACTTTGCCCGTCAAGAATTTTTAATTGATGCAATTTTGGATCTTTATTATGATTGCGCTTAATTGTCCAATTAGTTACTGGAATCTTTCTAGCCACCGCTAACATCGAACTAGCCTTTAACAGCGTAATTCACATTTTCGCAATGTAAAGAATGAGTGAATAATCCGAAGCATGCATGCTAACGGGGCCTCATTTTTTTATTTGTATATAAATACATATTGGATGAGGAAATTACTATAACTCTTATGGACTAACTCACACTTGAACTCTTGGTTTCATACTTTTATTGTTGACTACAGCAACAGCTTTCCTAGGTCCTAGGGTACGTTTTACCGTGGGGGCAAATATCTTTGTGAGGCGCCAATGTTATCATAAACCTATTATCGGTTATCCTTTACCTGGAAAAAAATTGTTTTATGACTGTTGAGGGGGTTTTTCGATTGAGGACGCCACATTAACGCGCTCATTTACTCTTCATTGTCACACTCACGTGCTACTAAATCATCACCACATCACGAAGCACGAAATGAAGCAAGTCGAGTAAGAATTAGAGGATTAATACAATCTTTGCCCTTTTGTGATCAAAACGAAAAGCGTGACAATAGACTATTACGCATGCAAATGAATCGATTAAAACAATTGGTGAAACTTGACGGTACTGCATTTCAGTATAATTCAGATTTTGCTTTCGATGCCTGCTGGTAATTTACTGTAAATTACAAATTGGAATTGCTGGTGTGTGTGTGGGGGGGGGGGATTTGTTATTTGTTTAACCCTAAATCCGTATATTAACAGCCCGACGCCAGAATCGCCGCATAAGCCTCTAAACTCTCAGAGCCCAAGAGAGATTTGTAATTTACTAGTTTTTCCAAGCCTTTAATATACTGTGTCCATTAGTGCTTTTCTATTATTTACATATTTGGTGCAAGTCAAAATGAGGTGCTCAAAATCTTCTGATATTCCACATGTTTCACCAAGATCATCATCACGTACATGGATTCTATGAAGATGTACTCCACAATACCATGGTTACTTCTAAGCCTGTGGATTGTCCGTGACTCCTGCCTATTAATGTTTTTTATTGTAAACCACCGCTTTTTCCTCAGGTTTGTGTTTATAC